AGTTATAATTGCATACCCTGCACATCACTTACACGGTAATGTCTCCCATTTCACTGTGTTTATATTTCCCCAAGTGGAACGGAGATCGAGCTCTAAGAATCACAGCGAGCCATCCGTTCAATCTGGCTGCTGAAACCAGGCGAGGGAGGACAGGCTGAATCGACAAACAAACAAAACACAGACGTCCCCGTGGCATTTATTTACAACGAGCCGCAGCGTCCCCTGAGAAGGGCACAAGGTACAAAACAAGAGGCACGAGCTAAGCAAAAATGGCAGTGCTGCCTAATGGCTGCTCGGCTACTGTGAAGCTAAATGTGTGAAACAAATGTGAGCGCACATTGTGAGTGCAAGCAAACTTTTTCTTTTTTCTTTTATTCAAGTGGAACCAGCAGCAGATGCTATTTTAGTCAGAGCGTTTGTACTGATTGTGATGACCTGAGAAGAGCTGAATCCAAGTTATGCCCAAGTTTAAAGCAGAGGATGAAGAGAAACAAATTTTAATTCAGGTAGTGGGGTCTCTCACAGTGAAAACACAGCACAGGAGTCTGTATTTGATTTGATGCCAGCTACAAAACTTCCATTACTTTAGTTTATTAGCTGTATTTTAAAAACTGACAAGAAAAGAGGAGACAAATGACCACACAATAGATTTAAATGAGGCAAAGTCCAAGTCGGCAACCTAAACCACCAGGTCACAGAGTGAGCATTTATCAGAGAAGCTCAGCCTCACAGGACACTTACGTGTGCCATCGAAGCGTGTGGCGATGGTGTCTAGAAAGGTGTTCTGTGGGGCCAGGAGGCCCTTCATCACCGGCATCTTGACCCCGATTTAGGAAGGTCACCTGCTAGCTTGAGGTCACACCATCCCAAAGGTACAGCAGGTAGCTTCCAGGGAGTCTCAGCAGGTGCGTGAGACTTTGAGGGTGACTCTCTGGCACCAGCCGCAGGGATGCACATTTACAGTAAATGCTGCCACCCTTCCCCGAGCGATGCCTTCTCAGTAAATCAACAGCGTGGCTTTGGGAAGACTAAAATAGCTCACTCCAACAATGCAGAGGTTTGGGTGCAGTCTCGAAAAGGAGAAATTAAGAGTCACGGTCACGAGCAGCTGAAGAAGGGATCAAGTGCAACTGACTCTGAGATCCGAAGAGCTTCAAAACAGTGAGCCCAGCTGTTGCTTGTCTGCACCTTTCAGTCGGAGCGCCGATCCCGGCAGCAGTGTGGAGGAAGTTATCCTCCAAGTGCGCTACGCTTTCCATTTAAAAGAGGACTGCAAATCTGTGCGACGAAAAATAACAGCATGTGTCTACACCTCTTTTCAGTGATGCTCAGTGATGTGTCAGGATGCTGTGGGGGAGTAGTTGCATCTTCTTGAGCGTTCTCCCCTCCTCGCTACTCTCCCTCTCCCTCACTCCTGCTCCCATCCGCTCCGGTGATATATCAGCCAATGAGATACAGACATCCTCTGTAGGGACCTGTTTTCATCTGTGGTGGGGGTATAGAGAGAGAGAGGGGGAGAAAGAGAGTAAGGGAAGAAAGAGAGAGGTAGAGGAAAGAGGGAGGGGTGAGGCTTTGGGAGCCTCAGACACCCAGCAGTGGTACTATCAGCACATGGCTTTTGTGGGCATGTCTGCAAAGCAAGGAAAGATGGATTACCTGCACATCGGTTAACGAAGCCTTTTGTATTCTATCTGTGTGCTGTATTGTCAAAGGAGCCTGGCAAAAGGGTGACTGTCAAAGTCCTCTAATTTATTTATTTTATCCAAGTTGCAGAGTAAAGGAGGCACAGCTTCAAAACACCGTTCCTAGAGGGTTTTTTTTTTTGTTAATTTCCATCTTGACTATTAAAAATGAGGCTGGTTGCCTTTGCCCTGTCACCCCCTGTGGAGTATCCATGAGCGAGTTAAGACTCTGGGATAAAAGCCGCTAAGAGCGGATTAAAAGGATAAGCCTGGAGATGTTTTTCGTGACAAAGCGATGCCAAAACCCCCAAACCTAACTCACTTTGACCCAAGAAAGCAATATGGCTTAGCCAACGAGGGGAAATACCTCTAGACAGTGAACGTTCTCATCGGGAAGATAAATCATCTCCCCTTCGTGTTCGAAGAATCCTGTCAAAATCAATCTCATTAAAATTGTAGTAATCGGGGAAAGACGATCCATTGCTATTAATTAATGTGATCAATATTAAATGTTGAACCTGAAACCTAATATTAGGGGTTATTTGGTGGGTCATGCAGATAATATTATAGGCCTGTATTATTGTATTTTGATCAGTATGTTATTAATTTAGAAGGAGGTTTTCAGCATTTTTACTTAACTAGCACATTCTTAAGTACATTTTAAATCACTGGTATATGTATGAGGTGCTGAATGAAAACCTACAGTTGCTTTGTTTTGTCAAGAAGTAAGAGAAAGACCTAGAATAAATCCTACAATCCTCCATATTCCAATTAGAAGTCAATAGGCCTCAAGAATGTTTTATTATGGCTGTTTTGTGACTCAAAAGACTTACAACATACACGATAATACCCACTAATATAGCAAAATAAGATAAAAAGAATGAGATCTTCGCTACATATTTTCTGCTCCATCCATCAAATGTGTCTCTATGCAGATTGGGAGTCAAGTAAACAAAAATGATGAGGAAAGAAATATAATAGAAATTTCTTGTGGGGGTTGGTAATCTTGGAAAGATTTAGCAGATTCAGCAGCAGTGTGGGTGTTTTCCTCTCACCAGAAATTGCATTTTTAATCTTCTCAGTGAAAAAAAAAGTGCATTTGTTTTTGTCTTGACTAACATTTCTGAAAGCAGCTGCAGACTTCTGAGAATAGCCACATCAGAGAAGAGATGGAAGCTGTTACGTCCACCGAAGGTGGGTATTTTAGGGGATAATTAAACAAAACCACAAACACATTAAATGTTAATTGCTGGGAGCAGAGGTGAGCTGGATTTGGAGGAGAAACAAAAAAGGTGGAGAAAAAAAAGACAGTGAAAGTAAAAGAGAAGCTTGGAGGCTTTTAAGAGAGGATTGTTTCCTCTCTCGGATCCTATTCAAGCCTTGGCAGCCATTCACTGTTTTCTATTTTTAATGACATCTCATTGTCCCTTCTTCTTGTAGTTCATCCGTCGCTGCTTGTCACTAATAAAGAGGCTAATACATTAAACATGCTCACGATCATCTCCTCGGTCTAATGTGACAGTGTGACGCACACAGGGTCAGGTGAAATATTATCCCCAACTACATTTCCCATAGTTCTCAGTTTTAAGGGAACTGCTGGCGCGCTTGTAAATTTCACTTTGGCCCCTTAATTATGCACATAATAACATCTGAAAATCAATTCCTTGAATATTCTGCTGACTGAACTGACTGTAATTTACTAAACTTGAATGAAAATCCACAAACCTAATCCTGATTTAAATTGTATGCCAGATAAACTCAGCAGCCAGGCCGATTCACATATCCCGCAGCATCCCTTCTCTCACTTCAACATACTTCCCGCCTGCATCCCATTGAGAAGTCAAGCCTGCCTTTCTCAAATCTGTCTGTTTACAATGAATTAACTTGTGAGAGAACAGATGTGTGATCGCGGGCTCTGAGCGTTTGTGTGTCTGTAAATCCTCTGGGTGTATGAGGACGGCAGGCAGAGGAAGACACAAGCCATCTAACTAAACAACCAAGAAGAGATAGAAGGCAATCTGGAATGAATAAACAGCAAAGGGAAGAATGAAAGTACCTGCCAAGAAATACATTTTAATGTGAAACCACCCCAATAATGCTGTTCATATACACAACTGTGAAATAAAAACAAACTAACCTTTTTTTTTTAGGTGGATACTTAAGAAAAAGGCCTGAAATCAAACTAGTGCCATATTGTTTTAAGTTCTTCCATGCAGTGCTGTTTGCCAGCTTTCTTAAGCCAAAATGTAACACTTGTATATACAGTTGAGGCATTATGAAGCCAAAATAAAGCGAGAACGATGTCAAATCTCTGCTGAAATGGGGCGTTTCTAAAAATATTAGCCCACTTTGTGAACGAATCGACCTGCAGGAGAGAAGCAGTCGGCTCAGACCGGGGCTTATTCACACTCAGACTTTCTTTGAGGCTAAAGATGGCAACAAGAAAATCTCACAGAATCAAATAAGGATGTGAGGATTAGTCTAGTCAACATACATATAAATATGCGCTTTCTCCGTCTTCTTTGTCTGCTCCCCTTTTTTCCAAAATCTTGATTATTTATAAGAAGATGATATTAATTCAGATGAGAGCACTCACAGTCAGAGCTATCAACAAGAATTCACTGCTTCAGTTAAGGCTGACAAGTAGTTAAATGCTGGACCTGTGGGAGACAGCATTATGCTGCATGTCTTAAATTTTAGACTAGCTCCCTCTGGTGGTAACAACAAAGTCATGACACTCCTATTGCACTATTGTTTATGATGTAACTGAAGAAATAAGCTGTACAGCTGGTGAACAATGCGAGCAGGCATATACTGAAGACTTTCTTGATTTCATAAGCATCATCAGTTACAGTCTAGAGGCCAAGGATGCTTACCAGTAATCAGCTCTTCTGGTCTGATAGATCCACTTGACTCTAAGATGAAACTAGAAGCTGGCCAAATCTGCACAATCTGAAAGAGAACCACCTAAAAAAAACACGACTTCCACCAACAACCACATGATGTCAGATAATTAACTAAGCTAAAAATAGCATAATTACCTTCACCAGCACATACTGTAACTGCTGTCTAACAATACTAAAGGGACCAAAAACACAAAATTCAGCCACATAACAGTAGCGTACTAGATTTAAATATTGCCAAATGCTGCTTTAGTCATCACAGGTAATTTCACAAAATGGGATCATTAGATGGTGCAATATTTAGTAACAGATGGTATAAAATAAAAGCTTAAGCAACTCCATTAAAAAATGCAAGATATTAACAGCATGTTATTTTGCTTTTCCTTTAACTGCCCAGAAAAAAAAAACATTGGAGAAAAGTGAAGTGAAATTTATTGAGGAATGGCAACTGAAGCTTACATTTAAATACAGCTTTTTTGGTGCTTGTGTCACCAGAAAATTCCCACTGGAAAAATTCGGGAAACTTCTAAATTGGGGGTTTTGTACAGATGAGACTTCTGGGATATTTTGGCACTAGTTCAGAGATATAGTTGAGAAAATAAAAACAGTGAAAAGTGCATTTTTATTGTTTAAAAATCAGAGTTAATGCATCGTGGTTAACATCTCCCACAGGCACACTTCATTAAGTCAGTCATAAATAAACTAAACCGGGAAAAAAACATCCAATATCATGAGTCTGTAAGTGACCTCAGGAAATCGTTTTGCCCAGAAGGAATTCAGCATATTCTTTCCTGCGCAGCACCCGCTGCATTTTGAACGTATTGGGTGAGGTGCTCGAGTACGCCATCATCTGCTTACTAAGTTTGTTAAACGCTCCCTCTGCCACCAGCTGCACTCTCATTGGCCCGATGCTGCCTTTGATACGGAAGGATTTGTAGACGGCCGAATCCTGCTGGAGAGAAATGTCCAGCTGGGAAGCAAGAAAGGAAACACCAAACAGAAAGACAAGGTAGAGTGATTTAATGACAGACTGTAAACATGCTGCCTGTTGGTGAACCTTCATTAGGATTTCTCTTACCTTATGTCGTTGTTCCTCTGTAAGCCTCCTCACACCTTTCAGCTCTAAGAATACCTGGTAGTGAGGGTCCGAGCCACCAATTGTATCTCCTGCAATGCCACAATAAATAAAATAAAATATGGTGCAAAGGGTTCAATAGTTTTCGCATCATATTCCAACTTCTTCTATGATTTAAGTGTATAAACAAGAACAAATATTACCCAGGATGCCGCTCTCAGCACAGCAGTAGTCAACCAGCTGAGCTCCTGGCCACTGAGCGACGGCCTTCTTCAAAGCACTGAGGAACAACGCTTCTGACACTTTCTCTCCTCGAACATTCAGCATTTGACCTCGTCTAATGGAGCATGGAAGCAAGGAGAAAGTATTGTGTCATGCTTTATATATATACACACACACAGCATAAGAAAAACTGTACGGCTGTCCAGTGCTGTACCTGTACTGAAACTCTACGATGGGACACTGGTTGTGAAATCCAACAACTTTTACAATGTCTCCGATGCGATATCTGTAACAAGGGAAATATACAGGTAAATATGAGAGTTTGTTATAGTTGTAATATCACATTTTAATTGCCGTGATGGTCATACAGAGCCACCGGACAAATCTGATTTTACACTCATCAGCAACTTTGTTAAGTACACCTGTTCAACTACTCATTAACACAAATATCTAATGAGCCATTTAGAAATTTGGTGCACACAGAGATGTAGCCATGGTCAAGATAACCCACTGAAGTTCATACCAGGTGTTAAAATGGGTCAGAAAGTTGATCTAAGTGACTAAATGTGGCATGGTTGTTGGTGTCTGCAGGGATTTCACCACACAATCATGTCTAGGGTTTCCAGAGAATGGCACGGAAAAGAGAAAATATCCAGTGAGCGGCAGATCTCTGGTAGAAATGCTTTGCTGATGTCAGAGCTCAAAGGAGGGTGGCCAGACTGAGTTGAGCCTATAGGAAGGCAACAGAAACTCAGATAATGACTTGTTGCAACCAAATTATCAAGAAGAGCATTTCTATAATCACAGTGCATTGAACTATGAAGCAGATGGGTACAGCAGCAGAAGACCACATCAGCTGCCACTCGTACTCTGCAATATTCTTGATATTTATTTAGAATCACCTCTTGATATTTATAATTGAGTGATTTGTATATATTAGTGCCGTTTCTTAAATTTGTAAAATTTGTAACATACTGTATTGTTTAAATAGTTTAGTCTGTTACTGTTACTGACTTGGAGCAACTGTAATCCACATTTATTCCCACAAGTAATCTGATTCTGAAGAACAGGAAACTGAGGCTTTTATTCACATAGGGTCACCAAATTTGGACAAGATTGGAAAAAGTTGCCTAGAGTTTCATTTTTTGCTCCACCATTTGGAGAGAGGGTCAGAATTTGGCATAAACAACATGAAAGCCTTGTTGTAACAATCGTTCAGGCAGATGGTGGTGGTAGCATAATGGTGTCAGGGATATTTTCTTTGTCTCCTTGGTACCAAAATCCTTTTAAACTCCACAGCCTCCAACTGAATAGTGATGCTGACCATGTCCATCCCTTTATGACCACAGTGTACCCATCTTCTGATGGTTGCTTCCGGTAAGATACCACACCATGTCACAAAGCTCAATCAAGTCTCAAAATAGTTTCTTGAGTTCATTGTACTCAGATGACCTCCATAGTCACAAAAGTCTCATTCCAATAGAGCATTTGTGGAACGGGAGATTCCCATCATGTCAACACTGACCAAATTTTCTCTGGAATGTTTCCAGTACCGTGTTGAATCTTTGCTGTGAAGAATTAAGAAAAAAGGATGTCCAACCTAAAAGTAGTGAAGTGTACCTAATAAAGTGTTACATATTAAACATGAACACTTCCATTTGATTCTTAAACAGATTTAGAACATGTTAAAATGCAGTGTGACCCATCACAATCATGAGGACGTAAACATACAGCTGCAGTTATTTATATTTGTTTGTAGATGAAATCAAACCTGTAAAGTCCTGAAGCATTTGTGACAAGCAGCTCATAGTTTTCTCCCTCCTTCACCTCCTCCATCAGCAGAGTGTGAGGGGCCTCCTCATCTAAGCTGCTCTCTGGGAGGAACTCGCAGAACATTGAGCGAGGGCACAGCAAGTAACGTCTTTCTGACTCCTGAGGCCATAGGTTCACCCCAATTAAACCTGCAGGGGCACAGATAATGAGAGCAAATGCTGACCTCATCCACATATAGAAACCCTACAAATGCCCAACTGCAACGGTTTTTAATTAAACAGCTTAAAAATGTAAATGAAGGCTATTACCTTCAGTAGCAGCATAGAAGGGCGAGTAGAAAGGCACTCCTTTGCAGTAACTCTCCCTCAACATTTCACCGTAGATCTGATTAGAGCCTGAGTCCACTGCCAGGACCAGGTTCAGATGAGGCCACAGGCGCTTGGCAATCCCCCTGAAGCCGTCCTGGAAGTGGGCCCGGAGCTGGGCAGCTCTCTGTGGGTCTGGCTTCATTAGCGCTTCAAGCTTGGCCCTCACTTTGGGCTCCGGAGACAGAGCAGTGCTGATTTTCCCCCGTTCAATGTCCTCCACAAGTTCCTGCCAACGCTCCTATGAGATCGAGAGCATATTAGGGAGAAATGACTTGCCCAAGCCTTTATTCATAAAGCAATTAACACAAATGTTTTAATCAGTCAGTGGGAGCTAAACACCTGACTCAAGATTTCATCTTGTTTTACTAGATGATGTCCCAGTGAGAACGAAATGAGGCACATGTGAAGGACAACAACAGCCTGCTACTGCTCAATGAAACGTTGTCTCTTAAAATAGACAAGAAATAACATTGCTGATGCTTTTCTTTGAAGGATGGAATGGATGAATTACTTTACATACTTTACGGTTTCCCATTAAGTCCTGTTTTTATGCCTCTACTCACATAAAAAAGAAAGAAAAACACAAAAACAACAAAAGTAACTCATTCCAGACAAACAACTGGGTACCTGTAGGGCACTGAAGGCATAGAAAACTGTGGAGGCGAAGTTGGACTCCAGAGTTCCCACATTAGGATCTTTCAGCGCAAAAAGAAGATGCAAATAGAGTGTGTCCTTCTCACTGGGAACCTGAAGAAACATAAGATTTTATTACCGAATCGGTCATACAAAGGCTGACCACTTGTTAGGCTTGCTTATTGTACCTTGAAGGCAGGTGCTGGAGTCGTGTACAGGTTTAGGATGTGGCGTGAGGAGGCTGGTGTCGAGGAGTTTGGTCCGATGGGAATTCCAGCCTCAGACTGCCGAAAAGTAGGAGTGTAAAAGAACTTGGTGGTGCGTTGAAGGCTCTTGGTCTCAGGGAATGCCTGCTGCATGGCATCTAAGCACACAGTCACTCCCTGATGGAAACACACAGCGAGTATTATTAGTAAAATTTCCTTGCGCAGCGCATGGGCTACACCGTCATCATCATCATCAAGGAGTGACTTCACCTGCAGGAAGAACTCAGTGTTGGTGTCCTTAGTGCTGAGCAGCATGGCACTGGATCCTGATGTCCCGGAGGTCATGGCCAGAATTAATGGCTTCTCTGCAATGATGAGCTTCTCTTCTCCAGCTGCGATGCGGTTGATTAGGTCTTGATAGTGTGTGTATGTAGTAATAGGATGGCATGCCTGAAATTCTTTAATATCTAGAAAATAAACAGATTTCATTATTTAAATCAAAACTGTATTGACACCTCTAATTTATCTTTCATCATTTAAGCACAAGTATCAAACAGTCCCCAATTTCAGCATCGCAATTCTCAGGACCTGCTGCATTGTCCGTGCCCATCGGGAACACTGGGACATTTCCCAGTATACTCAGGGTCATTTAATACCCTGGCCTGCTGTGAATAGTTTAAACAGCAACATTACAACAAGCAGAAATGAGTTGGTGGTCCTCTCAGAAACCACACTCTCATCCACAGACTATATGATACTGCTGCTATATGTGCACAGGGCATAGGCAGGTGAACCATGGACACATGTAAATTCCGACTCCAGCAAGACACACAGCACGCAGCAGCTTCTATATCAAAGCTATTTAAGTGAAGCAATGAAATTGTGGAGGGGAAGAAAAAGAGAAAGTCACAAGTAGGCATCTTAACTCTGTGGTAATCAGGATAATTTTCATCTCAGATGATCATAGAAATAGTGTAGTACTTTTTAAATCAATACTAAGGGTGTTGTAGTACAGGAATGAAAAGAGTGATACTAAAAAAAAAAATATGACTGTAACGTTAATAATACACATATAAACATAAATGATGGTAGTTGTATTTGATTTCATCTGGCTACAGGTGTACAGGCTACATGTGTTTTCAGTGTCAATTATCTGACAAAAAATGAGAAAAATATGAGAAAAATAAACTGATTTTGACTTACAGCATTATTCCTCTTCCCTCCAATATTTCCTACAAATATTACTGTAATAACATAAAATTAATTCATTTGGAAACCCTTTGGCACAACTAAATAACAAATCAGCACATGGAGTTAAGTCTGCAAAACAAGCCAAATTCCACTCAATGCATGAAATGCTGTTTCAGTCACCTGTACGCTGAAAATGTCTCGGGGACATTTGTTCATTGAAAACAATAAATTTGATGACACAGGTTTAAAACAAAATAAAAAGACATTTTAAAAAAGCTTGACTTGCTCACAAAACAATAAAAATTGTGAACAGATAGATGCAGCTTTAATTATTTTTGGATAGCAACACGTTTAAAATAGGAATCAAATCAATATGAAGTTGTGATTTGTTGCCGTTCTTTAAGGACTCTGGTGGCAGCTGGTGGCACGAG